TTCTGACTTTTGTGGGCATTCATGAATGTACTTACATATATATGCAGGAAAAGCACTCATACATCTAAAAATAATTTTAAATTCAAAACTCCAGCTTAACCAGGTACTTGTATGCCTGTATTTGTAAATTATTATTATTCACAATTGTCAAAGGGTAGGAACAATCAAATTTCAATCACCAGATGGTTAAATTAACAAAAAACAGTATGTACATAAAATGGAGTTATTTAGCTTTGGGCTTCCGGTGCAGCTCAGTTGGTAGAGTGCTTGCCCAATATGCATGAGGCCCTGGGTTCAATCCCCAGAACCACATGAGTCAGGCATGGTGGCACATCCTATAATCCCAGTATTGGAGAGGTGGTGGCAGGAGAATCAGAAGTTCAAGGTCATCCTCTGCTACACAGTGAGTTTAACGCCAGCCTAAGCTACATGAGACCCTATCCCAAAAGAAAAAAATCAGCCTTAAAAGGGAAGATTTTATTCTGACACATGATACATGGATGAGCTCTGAATACATTAAACTGCATGAAACTCTGGAGGACATGTACTGAATGACTGCACTTTCATGCAGCAAATGAATTAGGCATACTCAGAGACTAAGGAAGAATGGTTGTTATTAAGAGACAGCTGGAGGGGAAGCAGCGACTGGCTGCATGAAGGGTATAGGACCTTGGAATGCTGAAAAGGTTTGGAGATACGTAGTAATGATGGTTATGCAACAAGGTGACTGTATTTGTTCTAGAAAAACTTGGCCCCAATGTGTGAGAACTAGCTCTAAGCTGCCATGGGATGAAAAAAGAGAGGCAGAGTGAGCTAGGATTGTACACTATACAGTTTCCTGGGAGGCCTTACTGAAAAAGGCCTCAGCAAGACCAAGCAGATCCCTTTAATCTGGGTGAGAGGAAGGGCATATGTATTAGGATAAAACTGACTTCATCCTAGCCAGAATGTATAATAACCTGGTTTATTCTAAGCTGATATCAGAGTCCAACACATTCCAGGCTCCAGGGTCCAGCTGTAAAGCTCCACATACCACTCTAGTGCTTTTGTCTATTTATAGTTTGCTGGGAAACTAAGCAGAAAACTGACTAGGATTACTCCTGGGAAGTCAAGGCAGTTTCAACTCAAGATGGCTAGAGTCATGTCAGGGTGAATCCAGATAGCATTTAGTGCCATTGAATTGTTCACTCATAAAGGGTTTTAAATGGTAAATTTTATTTTATGTATATTTTACCACAAAAAATTGAAAGATGGCCCACAGCAGGCTTAGGTGAAGGAATGGCGTTTGACTGTAGGTATCTAGGTCCATCTCTGGCTTTTAATATTTGACGTTATTCACAATTCTCTCTGCCCTTCCATTAAACCTGCAGAATAATAAAGTGATTAAGGTATTCTGGACAATGCTCTCCGTGTATCATAGGCAGTGTGGTACATGTGAGCAATGGTTTTGCCTCCACAGGCTCATCATTAGAAGTGCAGCTCAGTTCTTCAAGCACTTCCATGACTCTTGGTGAAGACGAAAACCACCTGGAAGGCCTGTATGTGCTGTCTCAGCTCACCAGTAGATCCTAGAGCACTCTCCATCCTGTGGGCACAGTGCACTTCCTGCTCCTCGTCAGGGTCATTTCCTTCTCGCAACACATTCTCCTCTCTCCCAACAAGCATCCACATCCTTCAGAGCTCAGCTAAACTGTCACTTCCACAGGCCACGTTTCCTCACCTCAGGTTAAATCTTTTTATATGCTAACACCATGCCCTTCTGTGGAAGGATTTTTATATTCCTTTCATTACGTGGTTGTTCTTCTGTCTCTCCCACTGTATGATAGGCTCTGTGAGAAGAAGAATTCTGTGGTTTCTCCCAGCAATGATTTCTGAGTCTGCAGAGGCCTGATACTTGCTCAGTAAGTAGCTTGTGTCAGTCAGCTTTTTACCGCTGTGACAAAACACTTGAGATAACTTTTCAGGAAGAAAACACATGTTTTGGCTTATGGTTGGAAGTTCCAGTTCAGAGTCTTTTGACCATACTATCCTAAGGCCCGTGGTAAGTCAGAACTTCATGGTGGGGAGCACACGGCAGAGGAAGCCGCTTGCCTCAGGCATGCCAGGAAGCAGAGAGGAAGAGAGGCTGGAACCTCAATAACCATTCCAAAGGCACATCCCCAATGACCTCACTTCCTCCCATTGCCCCTCCAAGGGTTCTACCATCTACCAATAGCACCATGAACTGGGGACCAAGCCTTCAACATCTGAGTCTCAGGGATACTCAAGATCCGAACTACACAGCGCATCATAATCATTACCTGCTAATGAATCAATGATTGAATATGTGAATGGAAAAATGAACAGGGATACCGAGTTAAAGTTTTCCTCTGGCTTATACGTAAAGGATGCTGTGGTCTGAATACAGTTCTCAACTGTGTAGGACAAATTAAAATGACTTCGAAGCAAGACATGTAATGCATTTTAGATTGACAACAAAAGGAGTTATTGAAGGCAGGGGTTCATTTTTACCATATTATATATTTGCTGTTGAATTTTTACTATTATCAGAGGCGCAATTTGAAACTAGAATGATACTTCTTTTAATTTTCTCACACTAGTAGTCATTGATCTGCATTCATATTTTCAGAGGAAACGCCATTGAATTCAGGAGAGAAGTGTATTTAACCTGCATGGCATTCAAAAATTACTGGAAAAGCTTAGCTCCCAGGCACTATACTGGTGACCTTGCTAAGTAGGTATGTTAAACACTTAAATGTATAATTTTCTACCGGTGCTTTTGGTAAAAACATTTTCTTTTTTTCACATCTTCCATCAAACCTCATTATCCTTCTTGTGACCCTACAGGCATCTCATTTTCTTTTGGCTTGTTTGCAAGTTTCAAAATATTAACTGCATATCCTGACTCAGGAAGGACTGCTTGGCCACTCCTCTACATTTTGTAGAGTGTGAATTTCTTTACCTCACCATTTCTACCTTGAATAAAGGAGTTTAATAAATTTATATAAAAGCCAGTCATAATTAAAACCTCTTATCTTTATTTCTTATAGTAATTGTTATCACTTGAGAGACCAAAGGTAATACACAGGGAGAATATATATGAATTTTTAACAATGTTGAAAGTAAATTAAAATGAGGTTATAATGTGTTAGTCACCATGGAATTGGGGATCGGTGCTGCTGTACGCACAATACCAGCTTTTAAGAAAGATAGGAAGAAGAATAAAATCCAAACAAGAAGGCTCAAGGAAGGGCTGTCAGCTTTATTAAAGATCTTTATAAATCATCTAGGAATATATAATGTCTAAAAGTTCGCAGCTGACTGAGGTCTATGATACAGTGAAATACTGAACATCATGAATATCAGAAAACTTGTTCTGTGACTTAAAAAAACATTACTGTGTAGTAACCCAGGTATTGTACCTGTGTGCTTCTAGATAGGATAAAACTGCATGAAATTACTAACAATCCTGCTTTTCAGGACATTGAAATAATATGTAAAGAAATATAGAAAGCAGTTAGCCTGCTTTAGCATTTGACAAGGTAGATTTTAATTATGGGGCATTAAACCAAATTTCAATAGGCCTTCTCAGAGCCATTAATATATTAATGAGAGCTAGGACTTATTTCTAAGAATTAAAATGGTATAATATGAAGTGGCCTCCAAATGTATCTAAAGATAGTATCTTGTTTTTTTGTTTGTTTTACTTTACTGCTGTGCTTCTGTTTATGGAAAAACTTGTGAGACTAGCACAGCCTGGGACATCCCATGGGGAAAGCGGACTTACTAAAAAACAAAGGCTTGTCCAGAATTTAAAGAATTTTAGATATCTCTTTCTTAAATATTTACTAAGTAATTCATACTGAGAAATAGTATAAAACCCCAGACATGCAGCCCCATCATCCATTGCCTCTTCATAGCAGCAATATTTCCAATAGCCAAAAAGTGATGAATGGATGAAAAAAAAGTGGTATATGCATACAAGGCATATTGCTCAGCCATAAAAAGGAATGAAATACTGATACAAGATACAACATGGAAGAATCTTGAGGACATTATGTTAAATGAAAGGAACCAGACACCAGAGACTTGTATTACATGATTCTAGTCAGAGGAAGTCCAGAGTAAACCCACAGAGATTGAGAGCAAGACTAGAGGTTCTGGGAGTGGAAGGGGAGGAGATTGGGAAATGAGTGCCAATGAGTAAGGTCCTCTGCCCCGCCCCCTTGAGAATCTGGTGTTAGATGCTGATGATGGTTTTACAACTTCATGAATATACTAAACTTCATTAGATTAGGTACTTTAAAAGGGTGAATTTTAGTATGTGAGCTTATTTCAATTTCTAAAAATACAGGCTAGGTTGTAGCTTACTGTACAATGTGTGCTTAGCATACATGAGGCCCTGGGCTCAGTTCCCAGCACACACACACACACACACACACCAAATAAATAAATAAATAAATAAATAAATAAATAAATAAATAATAAAAAAATAAATGAAAAATAAATGAAAAAATCTAATATCCATTATACTGGATGGTCAGACTTCCTATATTATAGAAGTTAACAACACAACTATTTCTTGTCAAGTATATTTAATGAAGATACTGTTATTTACAGATGATATTTATATATATATACATACAATTCCTACACATTAAATGTAGTCTAATTGTGAAAACAGAAAAAATGTACTCCAAAGTAT